ATTGGTATAAGCTATTATTTATTTTATCCAACCGTGCCTTGTTTTTATCCCGCGAGTTACAGTTTATCAAAAACACTTATGATCTTACGTGATTTTATTTATATATTTCTGGTTTAACTTATGATATCGTAAGAAAATGGTCAGCATTTCCCGTTATGACCGGTGGAAAACAAAATGGGCTAAAAACTTATTGCGGCTAAAATTCTGTGAAAGTCTAACGTCCCTCTCAAAGTGCTTGAAAGTCGACAAAGACTGGATCATCCATTACTATTGCTTGCTGTGCTGCTCTCACGAATTATCAAATGATATTTTATTAAGTAAAAAAAAAAAAAATTCGTAGGGCATCGAATCGAAGAAAGGAAATGGAAGTGCTGCAGAGTGCCCTGGAACAGAAAACAGCAACAATAATGAGTCTGGAATCGGAGAAAGAAATACTCAGCACTGAACTGGCTTCCACACGAGAGCTCGCGAAACTCCATCAGCGTTTACAGGTTACTAAAATAGCATGTTTTACTCCTATAGCGCTTGAGTTCGTGCTTCCCTAAATACTGGCAAGCATGGCGCAGTACAAATGCTGCCCTAAGGGGTAGGTCGAGAGTTTGACTCCACCGTTCAAAAAATCAGTCAATGGGTGATTCATTCATTCTTTTTTGATGGTAAATTGGTACTGGCATCTGTCAGGAGTCAGTCTCCCCCCAGTCAGCTTGCTTATGAGCAACCCTCGGAAGAGAGCGCCATCGGCCTCTTTTACCAGCCTGTGATTGTTGTTGGCATTTGCTACCACTTTGGCTACTTCCCAGGAATGTCCGCTATTCACGAAGGGGGAATACGGAGGGGGAGAGGAGAAAGGGGGGAGGTTGATGCCTTGGAAATACGGAGTAAGTTTTGATATTTTGATTCTTCCAAGTAATAATTAAGAAAGCGAAGTGAAAAGATGTTACTGGAAAAATCCGCATTGATTCTCGTAATGCAAAAAGCGAAGCTCGTTTCTCGTTTTTCAGTTTATCCGTTTTGGTTTTTTTTTTTAGAATTTTTGCATTGAAGGGATTCTGTTATCAGTAAGTGTGAGGTGAGAAATATGTTGGAGAGAATGATAATTTTTATTTTTTTTTTTTTTATTTTCATTTCTCACCTTCCTTTTTTTATGCTTTCTGTGCTGTGTAACAGCAGTACAAAACGCATTTTGTTACGGGGTTGTCTGTGTGTGTGTTTGTGTGT